CTAGAAAAATAGGAAGCTAATGAAGATAATAAGTGTTGGTATTTGAGTTAGTTATTTTTACGAATTATAGTAATACTAGAATTCTATTATGAAACACTATGTAAAGTCTTTAAATAGGCATTCATGCATCGTTCTACCTCAAAGAAACAAAGAGAGAAAAAACCAGGGGCTGAGTACTGTAGCTGCAGTAAACTGGAGTTAAAAACAGTTGTTTACTTGCTTCTCCCACTAAATCTCTCCGCATATAAATTATACTCTTATTTCCTTTGCTGTTGATTGCTCCAACAGTGGTATCAGAGCCATGAACAATCTAAACAGGACGACATCACCTTCTATTCCTATACTGGACGGGAAGAATTATCATCGGTGGAGAGTGCAAATGAAGGTGTTGTTTGAATATCAAGATATATTGCGTGTCGTAGAGAACAGTTACCGATCTCGCAGATAACGCAAGTGAAGCCGAGAAGAAAGCCCACAGTGAGATCAAGAAGAAGGATCGAAATGTGTTATTCTACATCCATTAAAGGGTGAATGATTCAGTTTTTGAGAAGATCGACAGAGCAACTACAGCAAAACAAGTGTGGGATACTTTGGAGACATCGTACCATGGAGTTGAAAAAGTAAAAACAGTTAGGCTTCAAACATTGAGACGTCAATTTAAAATTTTGCTCATGGAATCCTCTAAAAGTGATGCAGATTATGTGGCTCGAGTACTTGCTTTGATAAATCAAATAAAAATAAACGGGAAGAAGGTTATATATTTAGCAATTGTGGAGAATATATTGCGATCTCTTACAGTAGAATTTGATCATATCGTGGTGGAAATCGAAGAATCGAAGGATTTGTCTAAGATGACAGTTGATGAGTTGATGAGTACCTTACAAGTTCACGAGCAATGCATGAACAAGAGGTCAACCGAGAAGCCCTTTGAGAAAGCTTTTCAAAGTTAAGCTTTTATAAAAAAAAATAACAAAGGAGAGCAGTACGAAAGAGACCAGCGAGAAGGAAATTCCCGTGGCAGGGGACGAGGATACGGGAACTACAACAACTGAGGATGCGGATAATACAATAGTCAAGGACGTAGCAGTTATAACAACAGTCAAAGCGATGACGGTAATTAGAGAAGCAATTATCAATCAAATTTAAATTATTGAGGTCAATGTCGAGGATTTAGACGTGGTAGAGAAATTTTTTTAATAAGTCAAACAATGAATGTTACATACGTCACAGATATGACCACTATGCGAAGAAGTGCAAGTACCAGGATAATTCTTAATCCGGAGAAGAAGTTCGATCTGCACAAGAAAGAGGTGATGACGACAACCATACTTTATTGATAGTCATGACAGCCGGTGAAGAATCAAACTACAACACATGATTTCTTGACACTGGGTGTTCTAATCACATGTGCGGAAAGAATGAGTTGTTTGTGGACCTGGATGAGTCGATCTGGTCCAAAGTCAAGCTTGTTGATAACAACACTATACCAGTGATGGGAAAAGGGTGAGTTCTAATCAAGTTGAAGAACAGAGACCACAAGTTTATTTCTAATGTATTTTATGTGTCGAATATGAAGAATAATTTACTCAGTATGGGTCAACTTCTTAAAAAGGAGTATGATCTACGCTTCTCTGGTAATCAACTCCTACTCTTTGATAAAAGATGTGTATTTATCCTTAAAACCTCTATAACAAATAATCGCATGTTTCGAGTTAACATCCAGAATGATATTTATCATTACTTCAATGCTATTATGAAAGATAAATCTTGGTTGTGGCATCTTCGGTTTGGACATCTGAACTTTTGCAGTCTGACGTTGCTTGCACAAAGAAATTTGGTGAGAGGCTTGCCCGTGATAGATTATTCCGAACAGTTGTGTGAATGTTGTATTCTTGAAAAGCAACATAGATCATCCTTTGGTATTGAAAATACTTTGCGTGCAAAGAAGCCTCTTCAGCTCGTTCATTCAGATGTGTGCAGTCCTATAAACACTATATCCAATGGCAATAATCGATACTTCCTTGCTTTTATTAATGATTTCACAAGAAAAATATGGATCTAATTTTTGTAGCAAAAAGCTAAAGTCTTTGATTATTTTAAGAGCTTTAAGACCCTAGTTGAAAAGGAAACCTGCTACTTTATCAATATGCTACGAACAGATGGAGGAGGTGAATATACTTCTAATGAATTCAATAAGTATTTTGCAAAAGAAGGAATAAATCATGATGTTACTTTTTCCTACACACCTCAACATAAAGGCGTCGCTGAATGGAAAAATCGGACGATACTTGACATAGCGAGAAGCATGCTAAAGGCCAAAGGTCTGCCAAATTGTTTTTGGGGTGAAGCTGTCTCATGCACTGTATACTTGTTGAACAGGTCACCAACAAAGTGTGTTGATAATCTTACTCCTAAAAAGGTGTGGACTGATTATAAGCCAAATGTAATACATCTCAAAGTGTTTGGCTCCATTGTTTATGCTCATATACCAGCAGAAAGAAGAAAGAAACTTGATGATAGAGGCGAGAAGGCAGTTTTTATTGGCTACAAGTTCGGGGGATACAAACTCTACAATCCTACTACAAAGAAGGTGATTGTAAGCAGAGATGTTATGTTTGCTAAATAAGAAGCTTGGAATTAGAAACTAGAAGCACAAAACTATTCACGGTGTACTCTCCTTGATATTCTTGAAGACGGTATCCCTGTTGCAACTAAAGAAACACCATTGGCCAGTTCTCCTGAAGCTCCAACCCCGCAAGTTCCATTAAAAGTTGAAAGACCAAGAAGAAATCGCCAACCATTAGTTCTTTTGAGTGATTATGAAGTAACTCCATATGATGATATTAATGCAGATAGAGATATAGTGTATTTTGTAATATTTACAGATTGTGAGCCAGTTATGTTTAAGAGGCTATTCAAGATTCTAAGTGGATAAATGCAATGAAAGAAGAGATAAAGGAAATTGAGAAGAATGACACATGGGAGCTTACTAATATCCCGCAAGGACATAAAGCAATCTGTGAAGTGGATTTTCAAAACATAAGATTAAAGCAAACAACGATATTGAGCAGCATAAAGTAAGATTAGTGGCGAAAGGCTACGAGCAAAGGCCTGATTATGATTACCAATAGATATTTTCCCCTGTTGCTAGAATTAAAACTGTTAGAATCATAATTGCCCAGCTGGCTACACAGAAGCATTGGAATATTCATTAGATAGATGTGAAGTTAGCTTTTCTTAATGGGCCACTTGAAGAAGAAGTTTCTGTGAAGCAGCCACCTAGATTTGTGAAGAAAGGATGCGAGCATAAATGATAGAAAAAAGCCTTGTACGGGCTGAAGCAGGCGTCGCGAGCATGGAATAAAAGAATAATTTTTTTTTCTTTTAGAAAAGTAAATTTCAGAAGTGCCCCTCCGAGCATGCTTTATATGTGAAGATAAACAACTCTGATGATATACTACTATTATGCCTTTATGTTGATGACTTGATTTTTATGGGTAATAATATTAGTATGATTAAAGATTTTAAGAAGTTGATGATGCATGAATGCGAGATGATAGATCTTGGCTTGATATCTTATTTTCTCGGAATTAAAATAGTTCAAGGAGATGATGAGATTTTCATATGTCAAAGGAGGTATTGTGCAGAGTTGTTGAAGAGGTTTCAAATGTTTGATTGAAATCCTATTAGAATTGCTGTGGAGGTTGGTACTAAATTATCTCGAGAAAGTGATGAGGCACAAGTTGATCCTACTTATTTCACGCAAATTATTAGGAGTTTGAGATATCTCACATGTATGAGGTCAGATATAGCTTATGGAGTTAGTCTAATCAGCAGATATTTGGAGGCCCCACACCAATCTCATATATAAGTTACAAAGAGAATTATGCAGTACCAAAATGGGACTTATGATCATGGTTTGTGTTATTCTCCATCTAATAACTGTGATGTTGTAGGCTATTCTGATAGTGATTGGAGTGGA